AAGAAGGCATTCTGAATTGATTGGCGTTAGTTTGAAATTAATTGGAATTAAATTGGTAGAGTTGTGACTGTTTAAAGTATATATAAATTGGGTGGCTGGGTTAAAGGTGGGGTGGCCGGTCTGTGGGGGTGGCCAGTCTTTGGGTGACGGACGTTAGCTAATTCTCTGTGTTACGACCCTAGCGGTTACGTCACGTGTACCCCCACAAAAAACCCATGCAAGGCATCAGCCCCTCAATGGTTACGGACCAATCAAAGCTGGATCACCTCACAAACAGGATCACGACGCTCCAGGAGCCACCGTGATCCAGGATCACCGTGATCCAACCATACTAGTGATCCTCTCGGATCACTTCTAGTATATAGACCACATTCATTTGCACTTTCATAGATTCTAGCTCACCAGCTATCAACTAAAACTTCTTTACATTGATCAAGCCTAACACGCATTGAATCTACCATTAAGAGACGTGACACTCCGACAAGCTCAGCATCACGCCCTACGCAATCTGCCAACAATAAACCTAGCACGGCTTAGTTTAACATAGTTGGACTCCAACCGTCACACTCTGCTTATAGACTATAATATATTACCTATTAGTAAGTGCTAGGCTTATAACTTTATAAAGTAATAATTAGAGCTAAAGATATATTTATTTTATAAATATAACTATTAAAGAGCTAAATATAAAGATTTAACTATTATTTATAGCTGGTTTAGGCTTATATAAAATATAATTATAAAGTATAATATCTAATTAGATAATATCTAGAACTTTAATAAGACTGGCTTTATAATAAGCCTTATTATAGCCAGTATGGCTATTATAGGATTAGAAAGGCAAGAAAGGCTAAAATTAATATAGCCTAGAAACCAGGAATAAATTACTATAATCTAGGTAATTAATATAGAAGGTTAATTAATTGCGCTGTTTATTATTAATGCAGGCTAATATTACCTTACTAATTAGTACTAAGAATATAACCTCTTAGGCAATTAAGTTATTATAATAAGCTAAAATAAATAGATAAATAATAAGCTAGGTCTTAAGTAGCTAAAGCACTTTAATTAGTTTATAATTAACTAATTAACTAGTTCTTATTATCTCCTAATTTTTAATAGTTATAAAAGCCACTACTTAGCTAATTTTAAGAGATATTACTAGGATTATAAGATTATTATACTCTATATACCTGCTTATATATCTTATTTACTTTAGCCTCTTAATATTAGGTGCTTTATAATGCTAAAAAAGGCTTATAGTTAAGAAATAAAGTATCTAATTAGATACTTTATAACTTATATTTCTAAAACTAAGTTCTTTTCTGCCTTTTATATTATATTTAAAGCTACCTTTATAGAAAGTAATATCTAAGGGGGTTTTAGAGGAGCTAGACTTACTCCTCTTAACCTAGAAACTATAATCTTAAAGCTTAATATATAGCTATAGACCTTAATGCCTCCTAAGAAGGCCACTTAACTATTAATACTATAGGCTTTAAAGACCTTAAAAATAATAATTAAGGCCTAATCTTAGTCTAAATACCTTAAAAGATAAATTAAAAGGTATTATAATAGCTCCCTAAAGTCTATTATTAAAGCTTTAAAGTTAGCTATTAAGGTAATAAAGGCAGTTATATATAAGGTTACCTTATTAAGGGCTAAGCTTTATAATCTTTAAGATACAAATAAGATACTAAGCCGGTACTAGAGGGTAAAAAGGATTAAATTATAAAAAGAAGGGGTAATAATTA